AGCCATGTGGAGACCCCTGCTAGTGCTGAGATGCTTATACGTTTACTGACTCGGCTTTCCTCCTGCAGTCGGAATCATTGCCTCTGTTTTGTGAGGTGGAGGACTTTGTGGACTTCCTAGCCTTGCTTGGTTGTTAAGGAAAACAGTGAATTCTGCATTTCCTGGGCTGCCCTTCTGTTTTGCCTCACCTAGAGCTATGTTTGTCATTTCAAGAGTGCTCCCAGGACTTAATAGTACTATGCTCAACAAGCATTACACTTTCCCATAATCATTAGGATATGGGTAGCCTTTAATACTGCAGGTTCCTGTGTGTCCTAATTACAAAAAGCAATGGAGCTTTATGTAACTTCCTGTGCTTCACAACAATGTTCGCTCAATGAGCTTGTTAGCTAATCATCCCAAATTGGCCAGTAAACACAGGTGGGGTTAATTTAAGGGCGGAGGGATACATGGCTTGGTCAGCCTGCAAGCCAGGAAACAGACTTCCAGGTAGCTCGGGAAGGGTGCTTCGCCTGCTGTCTCCCCTTTAGTCATCCATGGGTCTTCCGGGCAGGGTGGGGAAGCGAGACTTTGCATAGTGTATGCCCGCAGGTCAGCAAATAGTTTTCCTGGCAGGTTGCAGAAACGAATCCTTGACCGACTTCTCCCTGGATGTCAGTCAAGGAACTTCCGTTAAGGATGAGGAAATGAGGCTTTTCTCAGCATCTCCCCGCAAGGAGGCAACAGTCTGTGAGCAGGATGGGAAGCAACATTTCCCCTGGCATCTCATTGCAAGCCAGGCAAGGGATATCCTTGTAGGCTGGAGAAGTGAGGCTTTGCCCGAAGTCTCACCACAGGACAGGCAGAGGACTTCCGTGAAGGCTGGGGAAGCGAGGCTTCCCATCAGTCTGCCTGCCAGCCAAAGAGTGACTTCCATGCAGGCGGGGGTAGCGATGCTTCACCTGGTGTCTCCCCGCAGCCTGGCAAGCAACTTCAGGGAAGGCTGGGAAAGTGAGGCTCTGCATGGCATCTACCAGCAGGCAAGGCAACAGCATTCCTGGAAAGCAGAGGAAGCGAGGCTTCACCCAGCTTTTCCCTGAAGGCTGCCAAGCAATATCTGGGAAGGCTGGGGAAGTGTGGCTTTGCGTGGCGTCTCCCCATCGGCCAGGCAACAGAGTTCTGGGGATTCGAGGCTGCACCCGGGGTTTCCCTGCAGGTCAAAGAGCGACTTCCGTGATGGCTGGGGAAGCGAGGCTTCACCTGGCGTCACACTGCAAGCCGGACAAAGGACTTTCTGGCAGACGGGAGAAGTGAGGCTTCGCAAGGCTTCTCCCCGCAAACCTGAAAAGCAACTTCCGGGAAGGCTTGGAAAGTGAGGCTCTGCGCGGTGTCTACCGATAGGCCAGGCAACAGACTTCCTGGCAGGCTGGGGAAGTGAGGCTTCACAAGCCGTCTCCCCACAAGCCAGGCAAGGAAATTCGGGAAGGTTAGGGAAGTGGAGTTTCGCCCGGTGTCTCCCCACAACTCAGGAAACAGACATCCGGGCATGTTAGGGAAGAGAGGCTTCACCCGGCAACTCCCCACAGGCTGGCAAACATCTTCCAAGCAGGCTGGGAATGTGAGGTTCTGCCCAGCGTCTACCAGCAGGCAAGGCAACAGACTTCCTGCCAGGCTGGGGAAGCAATGCTGCCTGGCGTCTCCCTGGAGACCGTCAAGCAACTTCTGGGTAGCCTGGGAAAGCGAGGCTTCACCAGGGGTGTCCACAAACGCCAGGCAATGGACTTCCTGTCAAGCTAGGGAATCGAGGCTTTCCCCAGAGTATCCCCTTAAGCCATGCAAGAGACTTCGGTACAGGCTGAGGAAGCAGGGCTTCGCCCAGTGTCTCCCCACAGTGCAAAGAGCAACTTCTGTGCATGCCTGGTATGCAAGGCTTCGCAAGGCGCCTCCCCTCAAGTCAGTCAAAGGACTTCCAAGCAGGCTGGGCAAGCGAGGCTTCCCCTGGAATCTCCACACGAGCCAGGCAAAGGACTTCCTGGAAGGCTGGGTAAATGAGGCTCTGCCGGGTGTCGATTGGTATCCCAGGCAACAGACTACCTGGCAGGCTTGGGAAGTGAGGTGGGCCATGAGTCACCACACAAGCCAGGAAATTAACTTCCTGGAAGGCTGGAAAAACTAGGCTCCGCCCGGCATTTCCCTGCAGGCCACCCAAGAGCTTCTGGTCAGGATGAAGAAATGATGCATCCCTCTGCGTCTCCCTCGAAGAGAGGCAACAGACTTCCAGTCAGGCTACAAAGCTAGGCTTTGCCCTATGTCTCCCCGCAAGCCAAGCATTGAACTTCCAGGAAGGCTGGGGAAGTGAGGCTTTGCCTGGCGCCTCTCTGAAGGCCAGGCAACAGAGTTCTGGGTAGTCTGGGGAAGCGAGGCTTCGCCTGGGGTCTTTCCAAAGTATAAAGAGAATCTTCTGTGTAGGCCAGGGAAGCGAGGCTTCATCAGGCGTCTCCCCACAAACAAGGCAAAAGACTTCCAGACAGGCTCGTGAAATGAGGCTTCACAAGGCGTTTCCGTGCAAGCTTTGCAACAGACTTCGGGCACTGGGGAAGAAAGGGTTCGCTGGGCATCTCCTTGAATGCCAGGCAATGGATATCTGGGCAAGATGGGGAAGCGAGGCTTTGCCCGACATCTCACCACAAGGCAGGCAGAGGACCTCCGGGCAGGCTGGGGAAGCAAGGGTTCACCCAGCGTCTCCCCGATGGCCAAAGAGCGACTTCCGTACAAGCTAGAAAATAGAAGCTTCGCCTGACCTCTCCCCGCAGCCTGGCAAGCAATTTCTGGGCAGGCTGGGAATGTGAGGCTCTGCCTGCCATCTACTGGCAGGCCAGGCATCAGACTTCCTGGCAGGCTGGGGAAGTGATGCTTCAACGGGCGTATCCCCAGAGGCGGGCAAGCAATTTCTGAGCAGAATTGGGAAGTGAGGTTTCACCTAGGGTCTCCATGAACGCCAGGCATTGGACTACCGGTCACCCTGGGGAATCGAGGCTGTCCCAGGAATCTCCTATTAAACCATGCAAGGGAATTCAGGGTAGGTTGAGGAAGGGCAGCATCGCCCGGCATCTCCCCACAGTTCAGAGAGCAACTTCTGTGCAGGTTGGGGAAGCGAGGTTTTGCCAGGCGTCTTCCCACAAGCAAGGCAAAGGACTCCCAGGCAGGCTGGTCAAGTGAGGCTTCACAAAGTGTCTCCCCGCAAACCAG